AATAAAAAAAATATTCACTTATACAGAAAAGGGCATGTTGAGGTCTCCCTCCATAGTCAAAGTTAAGAATTTGTCATACACCACGGACAGTGTTGTATAGTTTTGACACAATATTTAATCACAGTTAAAGGCACATTTTATTGTCTAAAGTAATATTAAATAATATTTTTCCATTTCTTTAGAAAGAGGCACTGAGGTTATAATTACTTTAAATAAAACATTAAGGGTTTATAATATTTAATAAAAATTGGTTTTAAAGCCATGTTACGTTCATTAAAAAGAAGGCGCTGAAGAATAAATCTTGCCAATCAAACATTAATGACTGATAAAAGTCGATAATGACCTATACTGTTGATTGATCATAACCAAAAAAACAATGCAAGAAAGCCACCGATAGCACTAAAAGTTCGGTTTAGTGGCATGTAGTAACTCTTGAAAACTGAACAGTCACCAATATTAAAATAGAAAAACTTTTGAAAAAATTGAAAATATAAAGCTTATATTGGAAATAGATGAGCCTTAATGTTAAGAATTATTTTGATATTTAAACATATAAACAACATATCGATTTCGAAAAAATACCATGTTTGGGAAAGACATGACGTGAAAGGAATTGTCTATCTTATATCTTTTGCCTCAGTTATCACATGTTATAATTAGAAAAAAAGATACTCATCATACCTTGTCCCAAAAAAAATAAAATAAAAAAATAATTAAAAATAAAAAAATAAAATAAAGAACAAAATAAAATAAAAATTATATAATGAAATATTGAAAATGAAAAAAAAAGATAACATAGAAAAAAAAAATAAATAAATAAATAAATATTAATAAATAAATAAATATAAATAAATAAATAAATAAATTTAAATAAATAAATAAATAAATAAAAAATAAATAAATATATAAATAAATAAATAAATAAATAAATAAATAAATAAATAAATAAATAAAGAAAATAAATAAAATAAATAAATAAATAAATAAAAAATAAATAAATAAATAAATAAATAAATATATATCAACATGGAAGATAAAAGAATCAATGTGTGTATCATTTATGTCCCAATCGGTACACCGCGACGAATACTTATAATAATCTTGGACTTAATCATATTATTTGCCCATAATTTATCACAATCAAGAAAAGTTGACTATATAAGTTTAAAACTATACAAATTTGATGTTAATTCTTAAAGGGACTCCACTGAGGTTTAAGAACCTAAAATCTTAACATTTGAATTTCTTACATAAATCAGTTGGGGCACTTTTAACAGAAATATATGCAAAGAAAGTTAAGAAGTATACTTTAAAATAAATTGAAAATTGTATTTTTATGCTTTTTTAGCCCGATTTGAGTGAAAAGTGTTTAAATGCTTTTCATTTTGGGTAATTTATTTAACAATTTGAATAATTATTCTGGAAAAACGAAGTGCGCGAATGATCTGAAATTTTGCACAAAGATTAGTGGTCTAAACCTACATCAAATGGTACATTTATCTGCAAAAAAATATTTTCAGTCCCGTCATGTCAAGAAACCTCAGTGGAGTCCCTTTAAAGCCGTTTGTTTAATTTTTAATCCATTGTAATGATTATTTTAAATAATATATGAATATTCAAAAGCAAATTTAACTTTCTGCGTCAAGTCCGTAATGTATCGACACAGGAACAAACAAAATGTCACATTATTGTTTTTCTTTCACCCTTTTGCTTTCATACCGAACATAAACAAACATAGAAACTGTCGGATACATCATAGACAGGTGTTTTAATTAACTTCTTTCTCAACTAAACCAATACTATTGACCAGTTCGTTTCCGACGTCTTTTATGCAACTTTCCGCATTTTTCGTCCTTTCCGTTGAATGTTTACTGAACAGAATTGCCATGAAATGATCAATATGGTGCAATTGGTATAAATTCCGGGGGTTGATATATCGAACGCTACAAGTCAATATGGGGCTTCCATCTTTTATTAGAATATAACAAATAGGACATTTATCACCTCTATTCTATGGAGGAAGAAACAAAACAATAAACATACTAAAATCATGACTATAAAGCCATCAAAAACGAAATGCTTTTATTCTCTAATAAAACATATCACCTCGTCGATAAAAACAATGTTTTCACCGAAAAAAAGACAAACGTTTGTTTATTATGTTCTTTGTTTCTTTCATTCATTCATTCTTTATTTATTTATTTCTTTCTCTTTCAATTTTTCTTTCTTTCTTTCTTTCTTTCTTTCTTTCTTTCTTTTCTTTCTTTCTTTCTTTCTTTCTTTCTTTCTTTTCTTTCTTTCTTTCTTTCTTTCTTTCTTTCTTTCTTTCTTTCTTTCTTTCTTTCTTTCTTGTGTTTAAAAGTGTAAGAGCGGGGGATAGAACCTGTGACACTAGAGATTTCTAGTCCAGCGTGTAACACCTTGACAACGGATCCGGCTGCCTACATATTTTCTGCCCAGATTAGTTAATAGTTCTTTACCGCACATTAAAGCTGCATGCCTCCAGATGAGCGAAACTATTTCAATATAATCAAACTTGCGAAAAATGTACTTAGTTTTTTTTTGAAAAGTAAAAATATTCAAGATTCAAGTAATAACTTACATGTTATGTACGATTAATGACTGATTTTTCAGTATTTATAACTATATTTCTACTGCGTTACTAACGCAGTAAGGGCTATCTTTGCATATTTTGTCCCCTTTTTCGAAATTTATGTGGGTTGTAAGTGCCATTGATAATGTGTAAATTGTTTCCTTCTGGTTATTTCACTAAATAATACGTTTAAACACATTTTCAAAATTTTCATGAAAATTAGCAAGAATCTGGATGCGTGCTGCTTTAAAGATACATGTAAAATAAGTATTTAAAGCTTTAATTAAATGTGTTTCACTGGGGATTGGAAAATTTAATTCAGACGTCTAGGTTGCCAATCAGAACGCATGAAAGATTTTTACAAATATTTTCAAATATGCCATTTTTATATTTTCATGTTCTAACAATTATTTTTCGTGTTCTACTAAAGTTAGTCGTTGGCCATATATCTGAACAATCTTAAGCGATTTTTTCCCTAGCAATAAGTGCGGTTATAGTAATTAAAGGCCCATTATACCTCAGAAACAAATATATTAAAGGGCAAACATGAATTTTATAATGTTTAAATAATGGTAAAAGAGAATGTAAGGTACTTGCTACCTTACGAAAGTAGCACTTAATGTGAAATAATTTGTCATAACTAGCGTGACTAACGCAATATGGGCATTTTTCTTCTTATTTTGAACCTGATTTGGTAGTTTACGTGTACTGAAATTGTCGTCTGCAATGTGTAAATCACTGAACAATATTTTGATTTTTAAAAATACATTTTCATATTTTTTTATGAAAATTAGCACGATCTACAGGGTGGAGGCATGTTTCTTTAAAACTTATAATCCAACCCTTTTGCATTTTATAAAAAAAAAACTTCAGCATCCGTGTCGATACTGGACTTATTCTTCAAGTGTTTATCTTTTTTTTGGTTTGTTAACCAAGGGAAGAAACAGCGTAATTCTTCAAAACAGTAACTCCAGAGTAGCTTCCCTTATACTATTCACATGACTTTTCCTGCAATTTAGGCATGCTATATGATTATCACGAAAATAAAATTTGTCATAAAACATAAACAAAACGTTATTTTGTCTAACGTGTATACCAAAATACTAATAAGTAAAATGTGATTTTGCTTTGTTTCAAAACATCTATATTGAGATTTTCTTCAAACAGAAAGACAAAGTTTCTTATTTTCGTATACAAAAAAAACAAACTATGCAACTGTCTGATTTCATGTATTGAGGGAAGTTTACGCGTTAACACGTTGTCTCCACGAAAAGGGAAACTGTTTTTCATTTGGCCAAAATGCACGTCGCAGAAATGGCACAAGGCATCGGCAGAAGAATTGACAGCTTGACTGATTTATCATCGAGGAGACGCTGACAGGTTAAGATCCGAGAGACTGTGGCGTTGCATATAGGACAGGTCCGGGAGACCAAACTAGCCCTGGCCCATTGGGAGTTTAGAGCTGCCAATGCCCTCACTAATGCCGAGGGCAGTGGTCCTACAAAGTAGGCAGGGACGTCGAGGAAAGTGTGTAAAGGGTGCGTGAGCCCCTAGCACAAAGAATTACGGCTTAAGAGACGGGTTCTTAGCTGGCATAACATCCTTTTTTCAGGGCTTCCTCCTTATCACATTAGGTTATTGTATATTTACGTTCTCATTGGCCGCTGTACCGTTAATGGATTAAAATCATTTTGTTCCATTTTAAAATGAAATAAAATAATCTTAAAAATGATTAAATATTATTGCACTAATAACTCATCCACAAAAAATATGGGGCGTCCGTGGCCGAGTGGTTAAGGTCGTTTACTTCAAACCACTTGCCCCTCACCGCTGTGGGTTCGAATCCCGACATGGACTTTGGATTCTTTCATGTGAGGAAGCTATCCAGCTAGCTTACAGAACGTCGGTGGTTCTATTCAGGTGCCCGTTCGTGCCTGAAATAACGCACGGAAGGGCACCTGAGGTCTTCCTCCACCAGTAAAGCTGGAACGTCGCAATATGACCTATACTGTGTCGATGTGACGTAAAACCAAAAAAAAAAAAAATATGTGGAAGCTAAATACATAGAAAATATCTCATTTTAATAGACTTCTCAGAATGGCGACGTCTTTTTCCCAGGCGTAACGGTTTGGCGCCAGGGTGAACACATATTTAGAAGCAATCTGTAAAATATGTCCAACCGTTCTCGTCGGATAGTCGAAATAAAGACCTGAAATTGTCAAAGAAATACAAAACAAAAAGTGGAGATGCCGGGGATCGAACCCGGGGCCTTTCACATGCAAAGCGAACGCTCTACCACTGAGCCACATCCCCAACTTGAAATATCACATGTTGTATAACAATCACTATAGAATTCATTGATAATATTGCGCTAAATTTGAATTTAACTCACGCAGCGGGTACCAGCTGGCGCTCGACCGGAAGTTCCGGTTGCTGTCTGTTTACATTTTTATTTATTTATTTTTAGACTCATTTTAATCTAACTTATTATTTTACAATGATCGGTACATGTCGATCAATGTGTCCAGATTCAGAAATATCTCTGTAAGTATTGGACAGTCACTTGCCCGTTATAATATTGCTGTTGAGAGTTTTGCATTGGTACATGCTATTTCGGATAGGAATTGATTATTCGGATAGTTAAAGCAAAATTATTGAAATTTAATTCAAATTTTATAAATGTTACATTGATATTTAGGTTTAATACAAAAATTGTTTTTCTTTGTCGGTTTTACATAATAAATGAATAATTGACATTAGAATTTAGATTTAATCTGTCCTTAAGTAAATAAATGTTTATAGTATCTATTGGCACTGTTTTATGAACATTCAACCAATGGGACCCGGCACAGTGTTGGGATAGTGTAAAACAAGTTATTCTAGAAAAGAAATATAGTTTAAATATCATTATTACATGTTAACTATATATTTTTTTTCTAGAATTACTTTTTTACACTATCCCAACACTGTGCCGGGTCCCTATGCATTCAACAGTTCTATGGAATTACATGTATGGTGTTGTTGTTTTTTTTGTTTTTTTTTTATTCTAAAACTTACACTGCTTATCTACTCTGACTGTAGTTAGTTGTCACATTCCAGAATAATGCTCTGGATAGTAAGAACAGTATTTTACAGTTTTGTCAAATGGCAATTTAAGCCTTATACCCTACATGATAAGTAGATCTACATCATTATCATTACATTATTTTATATGTTGTAATGTATTATAAATATGTTTCAGACGAGAGAGGGAAAATTTGCTGCATTATTTTGAAGTAGCTGAAAATCATACATCTCGTTGGTATGTATATTTTATATAATATAATCATATTAATGCTCTGTGGCTATCTGAAGGGGAAAGTATAGCACACTAAATCAGAAAATGGGGGAAAATCTGAAATCAAATCCCACCGACTGAGGATTGAATTTACAGACTACAGTGACCCATACATTAATTATGATTTGATGAAAATTAAAATTTTCAACTAAATTGACATGACAGTGGTTGAACTCGGCTCAAACCATTTCTGGGATGGATAGGGTGGTAGGATGTTGAGGAGTCTAAATGACCAATCAATTTTGTCTCAGAAATCTACCAGTTTGTAAGAAATGAAATTCTTTTTTTTTTCATTCATTAATTTCATTTGTCTCCCATATCCAACTTCCAAGCAAAGGCTGATTGTAAATCCAATTTTGTGTGTAAAAGAATTGTAAACAGAGCAATGTCACATGTACTCGGTCACATTATATAATTATATGTATACCCACATGTATAAACATGTACATATGAAGGCAAGCCACCCCTTGTGGCTGAGGGGTTGCCTTTAATGGTTGAGGGGTAAGAATTGCAGCCACTGTTGATGTGACCCTGTGTGATCGTAATTGGTGACTAATTGAGTTCAAATAACTGGAGTCTCTATGCATCTCTTAGCTTCAGCAGGTGAGGTGGTGTTGCTGTGAAGTTTGTCACACTTGACCCAAGGCGAGCTTAAATCATCTTTCTTGTTTTGGAGCCATATGACATGAACTGAGCTTGTGTGCTGTAAAACCAAATAAACAAACTCATGAAGTGCAATGTTTTAGAGAAATGTTATATGAAATTTTTATGATACAGTCCGAGAGCAAATAGAGGGAAATGTGTGAAAGAGTATAGAAGACCAACAGTAGGTAAACAAGAAGTAAATCCTGGTGAAGTTAGACCACCAGAAGTTTTGGTGCAGACTGTCAACTACCTCATACAAAGGTAAGGTGCACTGGTGTACAGACCAAATCTTTTTAGTCCAGGAAAATACTGTAACACTGAAGGTAACAGATTTTTTAGGAGGGGTGATTTTTTTGCTTTTACTCACAAACAAATGACAAAATGATCTGAAAATCGGCACATCATTAAAGTTCAGATGTACATTAAATGGTGTACGATTGTTGGTGAAAAATATTTCCTGTCTTGTCCTGTCAAAAATTCCTCAGTGGAGTGCCTTTAACAAATTGGAGACTCCGAGAGAATGAAATCACTTTCTTTTTGTGTGTGATTTTCGTGATACTTTTGATTTGAATTCTTAATTATTAGTTGATATGCATTATTTAAACCTTTTATTGTCTGCCATCTTTGTTACATTGTGTTTCTATATCTTGTGCCCCCAGTGGCTGTAGGAGGGGGGATTTAGATTTACCCTTGTCTGTCTGTCTGTTCTCTTGTTGTGTTGCATGTAGCTCAAATAGTGTTTGACCTAGAGTCATTAAACTTTACAAGTATATTGGTCAGAATGTGTAGTTGTGCACCTAGGTGTTTGCCTATAAATATATATTCAGTATTTGTAGAGTTATTACCCTTGACTTAGTTAAAATTTTCAATTTTCAACTTGTGTCGCATGTAGCTCAAATGTATTTGACCTAGGGTCAGAAGTTGAAGAAACTTTACATGAATATTGATCAGCATGAGAAGTTGTGCACCTGGGACTTCGCTTGTGTATTTATTCTGTTTTGTCAGAGTTATGGCCCTTGACTTAAGTAAAAGATTTTCAGTTTTTCAATTTGACCTTAAACGTGTCAGAAGATTGACAAAACAGTGGAGTGTGGGGGCACCTGAGTCCTATGTATGGACACATTTCTTGTCTTAACTATTTCTGTGAAACAGTGTTGGCAATGTTTTGCAATCTCAGCCTTCTTTCTTATGCTATTATTCTTATAGCTATTTCTGTCAAACAATGTTTTCAGCATGTCGCAGCGGCATGATATTTCGTTTGTTCTACTTTCACAGGATAACCACACAGAACTGCCGTTGGTCAGAGATTTATGATTTTGTTTTTGACCGACTACGAGCAGTACGTCAAGATTTGGTTGTTCAAGACGTACATGGTGCAGAGACTGTGTACATACTCGAGAAAGCCGTGCGATTTCATATTTATTCAGACTACAGGTTGATCATTTATTTCATCCTTGTTTTATATCTATAAGAAAATTAGATGATTTAGGGTTTAACCTGTGGACTCCCTTAAACAAATTTTTCTAGCTTCTATTATTTTACCTGTCCATTATCACTTTTAGGGATAGCAAGATGAAATATTTAAATTAATCAGTCATTAGTATAGTATTAGAGGACTGCTGGTCATTCTCTAGAATAGTGACAAATGAAAATCACATATATGTACTTTCGGTTCCTACAGGTTATTGGTTGATATTTAATCCTGTTTTTGTTTTGTTTTTTAGCTAACCTGAGCTTGTTTTAATAAAATTCAAACAACCGCAAATATAAATTTCTGACCCTGCCATCGCCAATTCATGAAAATGGAAAATAATCCGGAGATGGGGTTTTAGGGAAAATAAAGATCACGCTTATATAAAGTGATGTACAGTATAGCATTTATATCTATTTGTACTACAGGTTTAGTATTTAATCCCGAGTATAAAATGCTGAGAAGGAAGCATTTGTGGTATCTCATATTTCTTGCAAATTTTGGACGTTTATCAAGGAAGTATTATAATAATAACTGAAGTTCTTAATTTTCCATGAAAATGATGGAAATACCATTGAACCATTGAAATTCCAATACCAATGACCCATACCCCCCCCCCCCCCCCCCCCCACACACACACACACACTCTTTTCATGGAAATAATAAATTTATAATGGATATTATGGATATTATACCATGAAAATTCAAAATTTTCCTTCTTTCTTGATATTAAATATCCCCTTTATATAGTAATGGGTGCTGGTTAGTAATTTTGCTCTCAATGATCAAGGGATGATTATTTTATTGTAATTTGACCATTATTGGCATGGCAAATGTGCAGAACGCCTGTAGAACAAGGAGTGAAGTCTGAACTATATCTCATTTACCAAAGAATAAAAAAGATGATTATATTGCAGTAAAAATAGTGATATACAAAATGTACCAGGGCCTTTTAACTAGTTTTGGGGACGGCGCCCAAGCCCTTTTTGTGGGGAAAAAATGTGCGGTTTTAATACTTTTGGGGAAACAAAAATCACATTTTCCACTGGCAGTTTAACCGTTATTACTATAAATAAAGACTTATTTAAATCATACATTTGGGGGAAATATCATAATATATTTGCATATTTTCCCCCAAACACACTTATTTTAGGAGCTTTCTGTCCAACATAAGTTACAGGGATTTTTTTACAGATCAATTTATTGCCACTTTTTATTTCCCTAAGAATACATTAACTCATAATTCCTAATTATAGAAAATTTACGTATGACATGTGAGGGTTCTTTATTTGAGGTATCCCTCTAGTGGGTAATTGAATAATTAGCTTTCATTGGACAAAAACAATGATCTATTTTTAAACAAGAAAGTTTGTTAACAAGTTTTTTTCTTCGATGTAACATTTCTCTTAAAGGGAAAATCTTTGCAAGAAGGGGAATTTTAGACTGTTTTTTGGGGAAAAAAGGTAGTAAGTTGGCTTGGGGAAGTAGCCGAATACCGGCTACAGTACAGAAGGGTAAAAAGGCCCTGTGTACCTTATACCTTGCTGAACAAAAAGTGAAATAATTTACATCTCACTACAATGTAGTATTTTTCACTGAACACAAGAGTGAAATATATATTATATCTCATTAATGTTTTGTTTCTTATTCTAGATTATGCAGGGAACATATTGCTGTGTTTGACGAGAAAATCAACAGTCAGCACACGCAGGAGTGTCTTAAACGGCTAATTAATTTGTACAACGAGAATTACGATATATCATGGCAAAATCGGGTCGAGATCGAGACCGTTTATCTACTGTTTAACCTTGGCGATAATCATGCAATAGATCATTATTACACGCTTGATTACAGATTAAGGTAGGAATAAAAATGAGCCGCGTCATGACAAAACCAACGTAATGCGTTTGCATCCGCGCAGTCTGATCAGGATCCATGCTGTTCGCTTACAAAGCCTATTACAAGTAGACAAACTGATAGCGAACAGCATGGATCCTGATCAGACTGCGCGGATGCTGGTCGCAAACCCATTATGTTGGTTTTGTCATGACGTGGCTCAAATATTATATTTTGTATTGTCCAATTAACATTTGGCCCAACTGTTATGTCTGTTAAATAAAAAAAAAAAGACAAAAAATAATTAATAATAAAATCATATACTTTTATCTGTGCGATATAATTGTAAGTAACATGTTTGTTCTTTTGTTTGATTTAACAATTAAATATGGGATTTTATCCTATTTGATGATTTCCATGGGGGGTATCAATGGCTAAGTGGTTACCTTAATTGATTTTAAACCACTTGCAACTCACTCCTGTGTGTACGAATCCAGCTATGGACTTTGGTTTCTTTCATGTGAGGAAGCTATCCAGCTAGCTTACAGCACATCGGTGGTTCTACTCATGTGCCTGTTCATACCTGTAATAATGCATGGAAGGGAATCTGAGGTTTTCTTCCGCCAGTAAAGCTGGAAACTCACCATTTGACTTTTAGAGTGTCTGTATGACTATTACCTTATGGTTGTCGACCAAAATAATAGAGATTTACGTTTAACTTTACATGATGTTATGAATATGATAATAGTAACATTTTCAGCATACAAAAATTGCAGGTTACCAAAATCAAAATTTGTGACTTTTTCTTATCACTCAAAATGTTTCTGTTATCATATTCTAAGATAAATTCTTATGTGCAGTACTTTGCTTCAGTGTTTTTATATTTTTCTGGTTCTTTAGAATCATTGATTCCAGCACTTTTTAGTGGAGAAAATTGAATACCGCTCAGGGCGGTGCTAGGGGGTGTGAGAGATGTTACACTTTCATTATCCTATCAAACCAAGTCTGTAATTTTCATGTAATTTTGCTGCGATTTATGCTTACAGGAATAACACTTTGTCCAGATTTTTTTCATTGTGCATATTATGTCTGTATAAAAACTATAACATGTGCCTTTAAGGTATAATGATGATATGACGGGACAACAGCCACAAAAATGAATTCAGTGGAATTGGCGTGCTTGATTGTCTTATCGTTACAGCCTGTGTGAACATCTTCCATCATTTTAATCTTGTATTTTCAAGTAATAATTCTTTGGCAAATATAATATCTAAAGTTGATATAATTAGAATTTTTTATTTGTTAAGAATTGTGAAAAAATGTCTATATTTTCAATAGACTAACTCCAGAATTTAGAATGTTTTTGTTTCTCTCAGCTAATCTGTAAGTACAAACAAACTTTTAAAGTTCCAGCTTCAAATATAAGCACAACAGGTTGACTTATCTGTTGTGTGGGGTAGAGCACCATGAAGCTATAACGCTAAAATTTTGTATGTACCTACGGATAAGCTGGGAAAAACCAAACCCACAGGGTTTCCGCTGCAATTCGCCAATTCCGCAAGTGGCGAAAAAAAAATGAAAGTGGCCCACATTTGCCAACTTCTGGATAACAACTATTGGGAAGAGTCTGTTTACTAGACCCAATCAAAGAAGGAAAAAAATCATTAATTTCTTTATTTCAGACACAGTCATGAACTTATGAGGGCATACACAATAAGCTGTGCTTTTATACATAATAATTGGGTGAAGCTATTTAGAGAATTCCGCAAATTAAAATCACCGGTATATTTATGTGCTGTGCACAGACACCTGCCATACATACAGAGGTAAGATACTGTATAAACTGATGATAAACTGCTATGTTTTACTCATAGTAAATTTATTGTTTTGCTTTTTTGGCTCACCTGAGCTTGCTCAGGGTGAGCTTTTAGGATTGTTGAATGTCCGTCGTCTGTCGTTCATCCACATTTGTTCGTTAACACTCTAGTGGTCACATATTTGACTCAATCATCATCAAACTTTGTCAGCATGCTTGTCTAGGTAATTGCTCAGACGAGTTCGAACATGGGTCATCTCGGATGAAAAACTAGGTTACAGGAGCTAAAAATAGAAAAATCTTGTTAACACTCCAGTGGCTACTGTTTTTGACTCAATTATCATCAAACTTGGTCAGGATGCTTGCTCTGATGAGATCGATTGGTTAGGTGAGCGATCTAGGGCCTCTTGGCACTCTTGTTTAGCTTGTCTGTTTCGAATAAAAAGTCGAGGTTTTATGGCCTCTGCGATGTTGTTGTCGTCTTTGTGCAAAACTTTCATGTGGCCCATTATTCAAACATTTTATAGTATTTAACATGATACTTGGAATTCTTGCTTGTCTTGACAAGATACAGTTGTTAGACAAAGGGCAATAAATCTGAAAGCTATATTTTTGAAGTTATTTCCCTTGTTAACTTAGAGTTTTGTCATAAGTGTTTATTGTTATCAGACAAGAGTAAGCACCGCATGCAGTGATTTTGTTATTTGTTTTTATATTGTTTTGTCTAGCTGAAAGTTACACTGTCATTGTCAAAATCATAAGAATTATATTAATTATTAAGATGACTTATCTGGTACACCTTGGAATACCTCCGAAGTCCCTCTATTCATTTTTATAGCCCTGAGCTATAAATAGATGATATGTCCATTTGTTTAACTACCATAATCTATTATGAAAAACATATTATGTACTTTGATGTTTGAACCCCTTGTCTGTTTAGGAGCAGTTGGAATTTCTTCACTCAAAGTTTAATATTGAAAGGGCTTTAATGGACATAATGCTAAATATTGTAGGAATACCTTGCTCACTAGGAATACCTTTTATATACAGGAATGCTTTATACAATATAAATACAGTTAAATATTGAAAAGGCTTTTATTGACATACCGTTATATTTTACAGGAATGTCTTGTTCACTTTGAATAAAGTTAAATATTGAAAGGGCTTTTATTGACAGATTGTTATATTTTATAGGAATGCCTTGTTCACTATGAATGCAGGATATTCAAGTAAGAACCTCAAGTTTCCTCTGGAGAAGATTAAACAACTTCTCCTCCTCAATACAGATACAGAGGCCCAGACGCTGGTCCAACAGTTTGGTATAACGGTGGAGGGAACCTCGGCAAAATTCTTGAAAACTGACTTTAAGGGTGATGAAAAGGTAAAAGAAAAAGAAAAGTAAATTTTATAAACAACAATAAAAATGTAGTGGTTAAACATCTACCACTATTGAAGACTGCATATAGTCTCTAAGGATATAGTTACCTTAGTGCAATAACTTAATAGATCCTTCTAAATTTGATAGCAGTTAATCAGTTATTGCACTGAGGTATAATTATTATTATACCAATGTTTTCTTCTACTTAAACCAATTTTTCTCATTACACAGTCACACCACTTATGTATTAATACTTAAAATAGCAAATTTGGCATGTTTGGTCTTCCATATGTAAAAATTGAAGCACTGAGTTATGGTTTTAAAGACAACGCATTTATCTATTATCTAGCCAGGTTTGCAGAACTTTCATATTTAAATGAAATTAATCTATTTGAATTTGTAATATAAGTTGATAGTTTTTAGTGAATTTATTTTAGTTCTGTGGAAAACTATAAACCTAAGAAAGACTCTCAAATGTGTTCATGGAACCAACCATTTGATATTGTCCAATGTCAGTGTAAATTTTTTTTGCTCATAGAAACAAGCTTGCCCTTACTTTGGTTTGAACCCCGAGGCCAGAGATCCTTAGATTACTAGTCTGACATGTTAACCAGTCAGGGCATGCTGCCACCTATTAATTGTATTTAGCAGAAATTACATAAACACTGAAATAAAACATAAATCCCTGTGTTTGATAACCAGTGTTCCCAAAATATCAGGGGAAATGAGAAATGTCTGTGAATAAAAAAACCAGGGCTCTTTGTTTCAAAAAGTCAAGGAATTTTCTGTCAATATATAAAATGGTCCGGGAGTGTACTGGAATGAGCCTTTTGACTAGATCTATCAATTATTTGAGGCCAGAGATCCTTAGATTACTAGTCTGACATGTTAACCAGTCAGGGCATGCTGCCACCTATTAATTGTATTTAGTAGAAATTACATAAACACTGAAATAACAAATAAATCCCTGTGTTTGATAAACAGTGTTCCCAAAGTATCCTGGAAAATGGGAAATGTCCATGAATTTGAAAACCAGGACTCCCAGCATTGAAAAGTACAGGAATTAGTGTTCATATGTAAAATGGTCGAGGAATATACTGGAATTAACCTTTTGACTATATCTAACATTTTTTTAAAACCTCTGACGTAAAATTGCCAAGAACATATTTAAAGAGCATTGTGTAAATTGTCAATAAATTTTATATTGTAGAAATGTCCCTTTAAATTTAAAGACGTCCTGGAAATGTCCTTAAATCTTCATAATGTCAAAGCATGGGACACCCGGATAAACTGAGAGGAAATGAATATTAACGATTCCTTTCGTTTTCAGATTGAAAGAGTACACAGTGACTACATCAATGATCGACTCCAACAGTGGAATGTGGCTGACTTGATACATGGTGGTGTTGGTGTAGAGGGGGATACAGACTTAAGTCAAAGTTTCGCAGAAAAGTGTCAGACTTGAAGAGCTCAAACATCAAGAGGTGTGACAAGAGCAGCTCTGTTCGAGAGGATAATAATCTATGATTGTGCTGAATACCATCAGCATGCTTAGTTACCAGTTGAAGTATGAAATGTCTGTTACTAAGAGGTTAAGATTGCGGGCTTTAAAATTTCCGTGTACATTAAAACCAAATAAGGAATATCGACATCGTTCAGGAGGGAGAGCTTTTGAAGTTGCTGTACAGTAGATGGATGTTTCTGTCCAGTAAACTTCTTTTTCATTGACCTTTGTATGCATTGGTGTGATTTGAAACCAAATATAATGAAAAAGAAAAGAAAAACAAAACAAATTAGCATTAAACAATGCCAGTTTTTGGCTTGTAATGTGATGGGTATCAATGCCTTTACAAATTTACATGTAGTTGATGATAATCTTCTCTTAGCATGTGTTTTGGGGTTCTTTTGCTATTTGGTAACAGCTGTTTCCTTTGATGGGTTGTGTATGCTAGAGTGGTGTTTGGATACTAAAATAATAAGACACAGTTGTTTCCCTTGATGTTTGGATACTTAAATAATTAGACACAGTTGTTTCCCTTGATGGGTTATGTATGCCAGAGTGATGTTTGGATACTAAAATAATTAAACACAGTTGTTTCCCATGATGTGTTGTGTATGTCAGAGTGATGTTTGGATACTAGAATAATTAAACACAGTTGTTTCCCTTGATGTTTGGATACTAAAATAATTAAACACAGTTGTTTCCCTTGATGTTTGGATGCTAAAATAATTAAACACAGTTGTTTCCCTTTATGGGTTGTGTATGTCAGAGTGATTTTTGGATACTAGAATAATTAAACACAGTTGTTTCCCTTGATGTTTGGATGCTAAAATAATTAAACACAGTTGTTTCCCTTAATGGGTTGTGTATGTCAGAGTGATTTTTGGATACTAGAATAATTAAACACAGTTGTTTCCCTTGATGTTTGGATACTAAAATAATTAAACACAGTTGTTTCCCTTGATGGGTTATGTATGCCAGAGTGATGTTTGGATACTAAAATAATTGAACATAGTTGCTTCCCTTGATGTGTGTGTAAGACCATAGGTTAAGGTTTTTGATTCACTTGCTTCTCTATATGGATGTCACTGTGTATTCCACAGTGTTTGGATACTTTTGATTAACCTCATACAGTTGTTTCTCTTGTTGAGTGTTATATTAAAAAAGGTTTGGATATTTATGTAATTTGGTAAATTTACTTCCCTTGATTGCCAATGGGCTTTACCCAAAACTCCATTTTTTCCATGTTTGATTCTAAATATTCAAATAATTGCTTTAACTGTACAGTGTGTGCAATATTATTTTATCATCTTTAATGAATTACAAGGTATTGATTTTGACAGATATTTTTAACACTATTGAAAATGGAAAGATGAATTTTTGAAACCATTTTAAATGAATTAATTTTTTAAGACCATATGTAATTAATAGATTTTTAAGGAATAAGTTTTAAAAGCCATTTGAAATGGAAAGTTTTTTTTCCATCTGTGATATTTAATGATTTATAGTTTCTATGTTTTAAACATTAATGAAATATTTTCTGTCTTATATTTTCATACATGTAAATATACTATTGTAAATAGAGAACAATAGAAAGTTCACTTCTGTTGACATGTGGTTAGCTGAGAATTATTATCTCCCCTGTACACCATTTTAAGGGTCATTTCCAATATTATGATATAGTATCCATTATATGCTTAAAGATCCTGTAACTCAATTTTTTAGCTCGACTATTCGATAAGAATAAGTAGAGCTATTGCAGGCACCCGAGCGTCGGCGTCCGCGTAACCACATATGTTAAAGTTTTTGTAATAGTTCAAATATTTTCAAAGTCCATTGACATATGGCTTTGAAACTTTGCACACTTGTTCACCATCATGACCCAACCTGTAGACAGGAGGAGGTAACTCTATCAAGCATTTTGACAGATTTATGCCCCTTTTTCAACTTAGAATTTACGTTAAAGTTTTTGTAATAGTTCAAATATTTTCAAAGTCCATTGACTTATGGCTTTGAAACTATGCACACTTGTTCACATCAAGATCCCAACCTGTAGACAGGAGGAGGGAACTGTATCAAGCATTTTGACAGAATTATGCCCCTTTTTTGACTTTGAATTTACGTTAAAGTTTTTGAAATAGTTCAAATATTTTCAAAGTCCATAGATGTATGGCTTTAAAACTTTGCACACTTGTTCACCATCATGACCCCAACCTGTAGACATGAGGAGGTAAATCTATCAAGCATTTTGACAGAATTATGCCCCTTTTTTGACTTAGAATTTATGTTAAAGTTTCTGTAATACCTCAAATAATTTCAAAGTCCATAGACATATGGCTTTGAATCTTTGCACACTTGTTCACCATCATGACTCCAACCTGTAAACAGGAGGAGGTAACTGTATCAAGCATTTTTTTTACTATCAAGCACTCAGAATAGTCGAGCGTTGCTGTCCTTCCGACAGCTCTTGTTTTTTACTATCAAGCACTAAGAATAGTCGAGCGTTGCCTTCCTACCGACAGCTCTTGTTATAGTTTTTTATCATAAATATCAAATGAAGATTTATCAATATTGTAAGTTCCATAAAGCATTATTTGTAAAGATTAACATTTCATGTTAATAAAGGGAGGTAATTAGAAATTTATTTTCAATAAAGTGTTAGTCAAATTTTTTGATAAGAAATGAATGCATATATTTTAATGATTACATATAATGTGGACCAAATATTTGCAGTACATATTTTACATATTCTTCCATGTTTTAAAATTGTTTTATAAGCATAATTATATACATGAATATTAAATTTCTCTTAAGTGTAGTAACAACCTCAATTACAACAAACAGGATCTTTAAGATAAGATAAAAATCTCTTATAAATCTATCATCTTCAGAAAAACTGATGAAAATCTTTTGAATATCGGTGCTATAATAATATTTTCCTTCATATGTTAAAAAGAATTTGACAAGTCACGTGAATCAGCTGTTTATATTGATCTATTCATATTTTGTTAATTATATCATATAGAATATTAATTGACCCCCCAATAAATGGTTGCAATAGCTTTGGAAAGGGAGGTAAATATTGTACAACTTTTGGGAACTGTATTGATTTTACAAACCAAATGAAATTTTTATATTCACATGACATGTTTTATATATGTACAATGTATATGATAATGTGATTAAAATATTTTTTAAATTTTACATGATAGCTGGCTGTTTACTTTTGCCATGCCTGTTTTTGTTAAATTCAACCCATAGTTATTCATGCTTTGTTAAAATGAAAACTATCCTAAATTGTTGTATTTACTCAAAGGTTTTAAAGTTATTATGTTTTGTTTTTCTATCTTTACTATTATCTTGTAAAAAATGCATGCTAAGTTTGCATTTTAGTATTATAATTATTTTGTAAAATATTGTGCCATGGCAAAAATTTCATAATAAAATCCCAGTCCATATTTTTATTAATTATTTATATCTAATTCTTCATATTCATTATTCTCAGTTTGTCGGTTCTTGTTATTAAAGAATGAATTATTGGAAGGGATTTCTTAAACTGGACAAAATAAGGTATCACTGTTTTACATGAATATTGTGCACAATAAAAATTCCTATGTATATGTATATAACATTTCAAACAAATTGTACAAAAAATAAAAAAAAATTGAAATGTAAATGTTTTGTTCACTGATTTTTTAAGCTCACTTGACTTCAAGGCTATATACATGTTCTTAATATATGTCTCAGAGATGTGCAGACTTCAAATGTAAAAATATTTTGCTTAGTCTACTCCACTGAGGGTTCTGCCATGACGGGAATACAAATAATTTTTCAAGATAAATGTTACATCTAATGTAGGTCTAGACTAATAACTTGTGTGCAAAATTTTAGATCATTCACTTTCTCCTTTTCTCCTGAACAATTTTTTGAATGAAAAATGACCCAAAATGGATAAGTGTTGCAACGTTATATTGGCTAAGCTTAATATTACCGAGTGTATAGGACACACGGACGCACTCACACACACACACACACATATTAAAGCTTTTGAAAAGTAAGAAGAAAGACAAAAATATAATTATAATCTTGAAAAATATTTGAACTTCATATTATCCTAAAACAAGCCTGTAATTATTTCAAAATTTATTCACAACATAATCCAGTCCTTGATTTATATCATTTATTTATTCATGAATTGAGAGAGGATTACATTTCATTATACAATATTTTATTCATGGATTAAACGATAAAATTGCTATTTATTTCTTAACTGAAATTTCCATCTTTGTTATAGCCGTGTTATCATTATAATATATTTATGGAATCCAGACTAATGTCTTTGTATGGATAAACAGATGACTGGCATTTGCATAATTTTACATTAATCTGACTCCTATTTTGTCTTGAAGAATTAAAGTCTTAATGTTTTCATACAGTCTCTAATTTGGTTCGCCTAAACATTGCCAAGTTATAAGAAAAGGAAAACTAAAGTTAAGATTTTGTGCAGCAAATAAAGTGTTTAACTGCTGTAGTGATTATATTCACTGCTGAAATTGTTATTATAGAAATAATGGTAGAAAATTAATAAAACGGAAAAATATACGAAAAGAATTTAGATGAACAACGATTGTTGTGCGATTTTAAGTCTGTTTTGAAATAGCCGCATTTTAAACGCTTTTCATTTTGCACCATAAAAATATTATTCTAGAGGGAAAAAAGCAACAGATGATGAAAATGTGTATGCAAGTTTTATGTCCAGATCTTCAAGAAATATTTCCAGTCCCATCATATAAAAACTTCACAGTGGAGTCCCTTAAATCGAAGCGTGTTTCTTTTCAGTTGAATTATGATGTTATGTGCAAGCTTACCTTAAAGCTTACACAATAAAACTTACAACAAGTAGATATGTCTAAGATTCTACACTCTGTAGTGGACACATGCATACATGCAGTGTCCTTTAGAAAAGAACTAGCTATTTTTGTTTTAAGAAATGACCTACTCTACTAGTCCCATGTATAGTTAATTCCTTCTTTTATTCAAAGTATGAAATATTCAGTTAACATCTTTAAAGCTTACAAATTGAAGATTACATCTTATAGCTAACATCCTGTAGCTAACATCATGTAGCTAACGTCCTGTAGCTAATGTCCTGTAGCTAACATCATGTAGCTAACGTCCTGTAGCTAACGTCCTGTAGCTAACATTCTGTAGCTAACATTCTGTAGCTAACTTCATGAAGCTAACATTCTGTAGCTAACATCATGTAGCTAACATCATGTAGCTAACGTCCTGTAGCTAATGTCCTGTAGCTAACATTATGTAGCTAACATCATGTAGCTAACATTCTGTAGCTAACATTCTGTAGCTAACATCATGTAACTAACGTCCTGTAGCTAATGTCCTGTAGCTAACATTCTGTAGCTAACATCATGTAGCTAACAATCTGTAGCTAACATTCTATAGCTAACATCATGTAGCTAACGTCCTGTAGCTAATGTCATGTAGCTAACATTCTGTAGCTAACATCATGTAGCTAACATTCTGTAGCTAACATTCTGTAGCTAACATCATGTAGCTAACGTCCTGAAGCTAACATTCTGTAGCTAACATCATGTAGCTAACATCATGCAGCTAACGTCCTGTAGCTAACGTCCTTTAGCTAACATCCTGTAGCTAACATCATGTAGCTAACATCATGTAGCTAACGTCCTGTAGCTTACGTCCTGTAGCTTACATTCTGTAGCTAACATCATGTAGCTAACGTCATGTAGCAAACATCATGTAGCTAACATCATGTAGCTAACGTCCTGTAGCTAACGTCCTGTAGCTAACATTCTGTAGCTAACATCATGTAGCTAAAGTCCTGTAGCTAACGTCCTGTAGCTAACATTCTGTAGCTAAAATCATGTAGCTAACGTCCTGTAGCTAACATTCTGTAGCTAACATCATGTAGCTTACGTCCTGTAGCTAACGTCCTGTAGCTAACATCATGTAGCTAACGTCCTGTAGCTAACGTCATGTAGCTTACATTCTGTAGCTAACATTCTGTAGCTAACTTCATGAAGCTAACATCCTGTAGCTAACATAATGTAGCTAACATCATGTAGCTAACATCATGCAGCTAACGTCCTGTAGCTAACGTCCTGTAGCTAACATTCTGTAGCTAACATCATAGGTGTTCGGCGCGTTGATTGGTCACTACCCCCTCACCCCCACACCCACTCTACAGCCCTCCTACCTCTCAAAACCATGTAAAATACAGTATTTTTCATTTGAAACATGTTTTAATATTTTGTTTATGCTTTTAATTCAATAACCTTCATTTCAACCTCATAACATAATGTAGCTAACGTCCTGTAGCTAACGTCCTGCAGCTAACGTCCTGTAGCTAACATAATGTAGCTAACATCATGTAGCTAACGTCCTGTAGCTAACATCATGTAGCTAACGTCCTGTAGCTAACATCATGTAGCTAACGTCCTGTAGCTAACGTCCTGTAGCTAACATCATGTAGCTAACGTCCTGTAGCTAACATCCTGTAGCTAACATCATGTAGCTAACATTCTGCTGCTATTCTTTGGAGCTTACATCTGTAGCATTCACAAAGAAGGTTACATTAGAAAGATTTTATCACATACCCGTGCCGATTTTTCGACTATAAATGGTATTGCACAGTCGTGCATGTATTTTGAGGTGACGTCATTTGCGTTATATAAACATTAGTGTTATACTATACATGACGTTTCACTTCAAACGGTTTTTATATTGGTATGTGATAAATAGAATATTACATTCGTGTAAGTTCATTACTAAAGTTATAATTGAACTTGTTGAATAAAATAATATTATGCTCGCCAGAGGCTCGCATAATCTAATTGTATTAATATCCTCTATATAATATGTTGCTATCTGAGATAATGTTTACAACACAATATCACCTGCAAAGTGTCGTCAATTTGTCTCGTTCAGACAATTTAACAGACGAAATCTAGGATTAGCTGAATCGTCTGTACCAAAATAGTTCTTTGGCTATATAGAAAACTCTTTTCACGACAAATTTCCCCCGCAATATTATTTCCACATTCAATTATCTTTTTTTCCGTCTGATGATATACCATGTGATTTATTTCCAAAGATGTTATTTACCATGTTGTTCCACAGTTTTCACCATCTTGTGACGCAGCTTGATATCTTAAATAAGGCAATATGTAAATATAAACGCAAAAGTGAAATATTAAATTGTCAACGGCATATTTCTAAATGTACTCGCATACCATTCCTGGCTGAATGATGACAGTATGCATTGGGCGGCTCCTCTCAACTCGTCCAGATTGTCAAAACGTCTCCCTATCAACTCTTTCTTTAACCTGGGAAACAAGGCGAAGTCACACGGGGAAAGATCAGGCGAATATGGTGGATGACTGAGTACTTCTGCTCCAAGCTGGATTTGAATGGTCAGCTGTGTGTCCCGGGCACGGTGAGCAGGTGCATTGTCTCGCCAGGCGTCTTCCTAAGATTTACACAGAACTGTATAACTGTCCGAAGTTTTCCTGAATCCGTGACGTTCATTTTTGGTAAAACTGTTTTTAGCACCAGTTCTTTGAAGCATGAGTGTAAAATAACCGCAACTTCAAAATGTCTTCTGATACTGACAGAATGACATCATACACATCAAAACAACGTTATTATAACGTTTCTTGCAATTTTCTTTGTTTGCTCAGGTTTTACATGTGTTTAAATGAGATGAAAACGTTTACATCACAGAGAAAAAGTAAGCTGCGCCGCGATTTTGATACTTACTGTTTTGATGTGGTCAAATATAGAAAAAAAATGCAATTGGTGTTTTAAAATTTGGTCAATTTATTAAAAAGGCATTGATTAATAATATCGAAAGAGTTCACCTCGGTAGGACGTCACGTTATGGAGATACACACATTGTCCACGAATTTTTGGATCACCCCTCGTATTTTCAGTTTGTTTTTCAATGTTATTTTTTATGATTTACACTGATTTTTACTGCAGTTTGGTCATGCCCCTTTGCA